ATGTTTTAAAAATTAAGACCTATGAAAGACTGATTTAAGACATTTTAATACCAATTAAGGCCTTAGATTTATTTTGAAGAATTCAATGCCATTTCAGACTTTTTAAGGAACCCTGTCAATGCCAATCCAGACATTTTGAGTTGAGAAAGCTTCCTGGATGGGAAGCTAAACGTCTTCAAACTTGAAAAAAAAAGTCCACTGGTTTGTTTGTTAAGTTTAACTTTTTGGAATTTATCAAGTTTTATTTATATTTTTGCAACATTCTACTGAAACATACCAAGTAGGAATACTTTAGTTGTACAGCGATGTGTGAATCTGATCTGACTGAGCTTCAAGTTAATGAGAAACGTCTTAATGTTCAGATGATTTCATGTGTTCTGATGCCAAACCTACCTTGTGTAAAGTACAGAGCCCAGCCTTTGTAAGGACACAGCTCATCTAGAGTGGTCTGGATGGGAGCTGAGGGGAAAATAGAACCGCAGCTGATAGATAACCAAGACCTGAGAGGATGTTTCATTAGTTTATGCCTGATAAAAATGATGACATGAGGTCTGAGTGAGAGCTCACCTCTCTGGGAGCTGACAGCTGGGCTCCCTGATCCTCCTGCTGTTGCTGAACCACCTCTCCACGGTCTCCTCCCACTCCCACCTCCTCCTCCTCTCCATCCACTCCCACCTCCTCCTCCTCTCCATCCACCCCCTCCTCCTCCTCTCCATCCACTCCCTCCTCCTCCTCTCCATCCACCTCCTCCTCCTCCTCCTCTCCATCCACCCCCTCCTCCTCCTCTCCATCCACTCCCTCCTCCTCCTCCTCCTCTCCATCCATTCCCTCCTCCTCTCCCACCTCCTCCCCTCCATGCGTTACCAGATCCTCTCCCTCCATTGCTCCCTCCTCTCCATGAGCCCCTGGAGGAGCCCTCTGTACTCATCGTCTTGGAAAAAACTATATAAAAAGAAAAACAAGACAAGAAAACGGTCAGAAACAGGTTTCTCCAGCATATTTCAGGTTAGTGGGCTGCTGCATAAGTTATCCTGCAGGGTTCTGTCCAGTGCATTTCAATGCAAACGCTGGTTGCACTGAAAGTTGTCGAAATGACACTGAAATAACTACACTGACTATTAGTGACGGGTCCAGCACCACGGCTGCGTCGGTGCACGCATCGAGCCCAGAGCAGCGGTAACCAAATCAGCGGGGTCTGAATAAAGAAGATCATCAACCAGTGAAGAGACATTTTTTATTATAATCTGTTGCTTTAAACAGAATTTAACACTGAAATAAAATGAGGTTTTAATACATCCATGTTATACATTCAATTTAAAAAATAAATAAATATAGAAAAATATATAAATATAAATATAAGAAAAATTTAAAAAATTCCCATTTTAAAATATAATGTGTTTCTTTAAGTAGAGATCAACATTCAGTTTGGTAAATAGACAATTTCCTGATTCACATATTTTATAAAACACCTGAACTGTTTATTTTCTTTTTTCTGTCTTAATGTTGGCAGTGGGCTTTATTCTGCCCTGCAAGGCTTTAAACCTGGTTTGAATGGAGACTAAGCTAAAGCACATATCAAGGAGCTCATATTTATTTTTGATTCTGTTCATGGTGGAGAATCCTGCTTCACAGCAGCAGGTTGAGTCAAACATCCTCTAAATGTTGAGTGTCGAAAAATGCAATACTTTATTGTACCAAGTATCTCATTGAAATACAGTAAAATGTCAGACAAGTGTTGGAGGGGCTGCAGCCAGAAAGGAGACTACAAACATATATT